AGACCACACCCCCTACCGTTGTAAACGTTTCAGGCACCACAAAACCTGCCCCCAACACTTTTGCCTCCCATGAACTCAACTCCAGAGAATCAGAACTTTAAATCCAGGGAACCAGAACTTTAAATCCAGGGCAGAGTGGCAAAGCTAAGGTATGAACGGACCTAACAGAGACAGCTAGGATGGTGCATCTCCCTGGTCCTGCCTGGGCACCACTTTGTCCACGTGGCCAGGCCCTGGCCATCCCCAAAGATGTGGCCAGGAAGCTAGGTGTGGGCCCCAGCAGACGCCCGTCCAGGTTACAAGGTTGAGCACGCTATGCAAACCTGCCCTGCCCTGCCGGGGCCTGAGCGTTGGGGACTCTGGGACCGGTCCTCCGACAGGCCAGGCGCAGCACCGCCACAGGCACACCTCCTCTCCCGCCCCCGCCCCCCGACAGGTGCGCCCCCTTCCCAACACCCCTCTCAGGGCTCACTCCCCCCATCGATGCCCCTCCTCCCCCGCAGCCCTCTCCCGGTGCCCCCTCTTCTCTCGGTCCCCTGCTCCCCTCCTTCCCCCGCATCGGTCTTTCCCAGAGCCCCTCTGCTCCCTCATCTCCTTTCTCCCGCACCCTTCTTCTCTCTGGGCCCCGCATCCCTCTTCCCCGAACCCCTCTTCTCCAGCTGGCGCCCGCGCCGGCGCCCCCCAGCGGCCACGGGACTCTGTGGCCGCGGGGCCCTGACGTCGCCTCCCCACGTCGCCCGCAGGCGGCCCCGCCACCCGCCACCCAGACGAGCCGAGCGCGGATTGGTCCTGAGCTGTGAAAAGTGCCCGCCCCTCGGGCCTCGGGCCAATGGGATACGGGGGCGGGGTATCGGCGCAGGCGCCGGAAGCGGGGAGGCGCCGAGGGGACGTCGCGTCGCCGCGCCGGGTCTCGAGCAGCTGCCGGAGCCGCCCGACGGACCGCCGCCCCCGCCGCCGCGCCATGGCCGAGAGCGACTGGGACACCGTGACGGTGCTGCGCAAGAAGGGCCCCACGGCTGCGCAGGCCAAGTCCAAGCAGGTGCCTGGCCAGCCGGGGAGCGGCCGGGCGGGGCGGGGTGGTCCTTGGGCTGGGTCGGGGAATGGGGCAGTGGGCGGGGACGGGGGGGGCGGCTTGAAGACCGCAGGCGTGGGAATTTCGACGAGATGGGATCCGCAACAGGAACCGTGGGGTGGGAACCCTGGGGACCCTGGAGAGGAGTCGGATGGGGGTAGGGACTAGGGGCAGAGGGCAAGGAGACTTGGGCAAGGCTGGGGACAAGGGTCAGGGGTTGGAGAACGGAATAAGAACTCAGTGCTGAAATACGAACTCAGCACTGCGGCAGGGGACTACGGTGGAGTTGGGGCCCCGTCGGGTACAGGTGCGAGAACAGGGCAGAGAACCTGGGGTGGGGGTGTGGGGACCAGCGGTGGACTGAGGGGCAGGGCCACTGGGCCCAGGCAGGGCAGGCTCCTCCCTGAGGGTTTTCTCCTTCCTGGCGCCTACAGGTTGTGTCAGTGGTTTGCTGCCCACAGAGCCCAGCTAGGTGCAACATGGGCCGTGGGAGGTGCTGTCTGGGTCGGGGCGGCCCGAGGCCCTGCTGGCAGGTGGACCCTGCCTTTCTGATCTGCAGAGGGAGGAGATCCTGTGTCCTGAGTGGTGCTGGAGGCAGGAGCGGCAGGAGGTTACTACTGTAGCACATCCCTCCAGTGGTCATTGGTGCATCCATGTCATCTGGAAAGGCTCTGGCTGGAGTCTTAGATACACAGTACAGGCCAGGCCTGGAAGGGCTGGGGTCCTGGAGTCAGGCATTCTCCACTAGTCTTGGGCTTATCAGTTGCACAGTCAAAACCAAATTTACTCTCTTTTCAAGGAAACTTAATATCCACAAGCTGGAGTCACATGAACTGTTTGAAAAGCATCTTTGAACATATTACACTTAGAGTGGCTCACAAGTTACTTCTTTGAAGCATTAAGAGATGCCTTATGTTAATGCTCAGTGACCATGGACCCCACAGAATCACTGCTATTGGTCATGTTTCCAGGAAGACTGTAGGTTTCTGTGGGATGCGTCATCTGTCTCATTAGGAGTCAGACTCGGAGGAGGCAACACTAGGCCAGCAGGCATTCCTTTCTGCTTTGCAGAGTTGTTAGAGAAGTAACTCTATTTCAAATATGAATTTCTAAAAAGAATCCATTAGTCTCTTTTTTTAATACAAAAGAAGTGAACTGTTTCTTAGTAGCAGTTTATTGAGAGTTATCTATGTATTTGATTGAAAAGTGCTTGTATACAGTGGCCCCCTTTGTCTTCAGGGGACACATCCTAAGGCCCTAGTGGATGTCTGAAACTCTGGGGAATTCTGGACCCTGTGTGCTCTCTGTTTTCTATCCATACATATTTATGGCAGTTTAATGTAAGAATTAGGTACAGTAAGACCAACAGGGATGTCCACGTACTGTAGTAAAAGTTACGTGAATGTGAACGTGGTCTCTCCTGTGTTTACCTTGCTGTGCTGAAGTGAGACGATGCAGTACCTACGTGAGGAGAGGAAGTGAACCACAGAGACCTGTGCAGGGGCATTAGGGTACTGTGTGCGGGTTACATGAACACAGGTGCCACTGTGTCAACATCTTGGGAGGCTGCTGAGTGAATAATGGGTGCCAGGCAGAAGGATTTGTGTCTCAGTAGGACAGAGTGCTGAGGACATGAAATTTCATCACACATTCAGAACATGCAGTTTAAATCTTATGTTTATTATTGGCATTTCCATGTAACATTTTGGACTGAGGTTGATCATGGGTGATTAAAACATGGGAAGCACCAGGCGCAGTGGCACACACCCGTAATCCCAGTGGCTCAAGAGCCTGAGACAGGAGGATCATGAGTTCAAAGCCAGCCTCAGCAAGGGTGAAGAGTGAAGCAACTCAATGAGACCCTGTCTCTAAATAAAATATAAAAAAGGGCTGGGGATGTGGCTCAGTGGTTGAGTGCCCAAGTTCAATCCCTAATACAGAAAAAATAGAACCAGACCATAGGCTGCAAAGCCGTGGCTGTGGGGCCACTGTGACCAGCTTGCCCTGTGGGGCCCAGCATCATGTTAGCCCTTCAGAGCTGCTGGTGGAGTGCGGGTTGACTCACAGCAGCTGACACTGTGTGCCTGATACTTCTGAAGCTGGTTTTGATCAGAGACCGTTTTCTAACTTTCTAGGCAATCTTAGCAGCTCAGAGACGAGGAGAAGATGTGGAGACGTCCAAGAAATGTAGGTACCCGTGTCTCCACTTGCAAAATGCGAACGTGCTGCCAGGGTTATCTGCCATGCTGTGCGGTGGCTAGGCAGTGCTGAGGCCCTGTGTCAGGAGCACTGGAGAGCTGGGGGTGGTGTTAGGTCAGCCAGACCATTACCTTCCACCCACTTCCTAAGCTGACAGTCAGCTCTGGTAGTATGTGTTCTTAGGCCTGTGAGTTTGGGACTGGTGTCACCCTGGGCCTGGGAAGCCTGTTGGTCTGATCAACATTCTGAAATTGCTTTTTCCTTGTGTCAGTTGCAACTTTTTCCTCTGCTCTATTCATACTGAACCACAGGGGCTGCTGGCCAGAACAAGCAGCATTCGATCACCAAGAACACAGCCAAGCTGGACCGGGAGACAGAGGAGTTGCACCATGACAGGGTGACCCTGGAGGTGGGCAAAGTGATCCAGCGGGGCCGGCAGAGCAAGGGGCTGACACAGAAGGACCTGGCCACGGTGAGGCTCTGGAAGCTGTGGGCCTGGGGAGGCCCGGAACTGATGCTCAGCTGGGGTGGGGTGGGCTCACCACCTGGTGGTTCTCAGGCCTTCAGTCTGGGCTTGCACCCAAAGCTTCCAGGGCAGCCAGGTCAGAGCAGCTGTGGCTCTCTCTCCTGAGACTTGGTTGCTCAGGGTAAGGCCTGAGCCTCCGGGAGCTGGCTGCCCTGTGGGGGCTGACTTGGCTTCTGCAGCACACCCCACTGGGTTGGTGCATCTAAAGCACACCTTCTCTTTAGAAAATCAATGAAAAGCCGCAAGTCATCGCAGATTATGAGAGTGGACGAGCCATTCCAAATAACCAGGTTCTGGGGAAAATCGAGAGAGCCATTGGTGAGTGTCCTCTGGCTTAGTCCTGGCAGGGGCAGCACTCTCCTGGGAGGTGGTAGGATGGGAGCACCTGGGGCCCTGTTGTCTGAGGTCAGGCCACTAGGATTCTGCCTGTGCTGTTTGAAGCATAGTGGGGACCCTAGAGCCCTGAGGAAATAGTGTCACAGGTTCTTGGCCCTATATCCCCCTCTGGCTGCCAGCCAGCATTCTCCCTGAGCTGAGTACAGAGGGACCATGGCCCTCTGGGATCTGCCCTCCAAGGTGTTGGCCACACACCACAGTCTGCTCCACAGTTCCCCTCTGCCGTAGCTGAACAAGGGACTCTTCTGGGATAAGATGTTTGTCCCCATCTTTCTAAATTAGCAGTTCATGCTTTTAAACGTTAGATGCAAAAGTTAGTCATGCCTGTATGCAAAGCCCTGCCAGGAATGAGGTAGCCCCTCCCCAGGCAGGCCCAGGAAATTGAGGAAGGGAGCTGGGGCCCGGGGCGGAGTGGACGCCTGCTGCCAACCTGGGATTGACAGGCTGGCACTCTGGCGCTGCAGAGTGGTGAGCAGGGTCCTGGCTTGTTGCAGGCCTCAAGCTCCGGGGGAAGGACATCGGGAAGCCCATCGAGAAGGGCCCGCGGGCGAAATGAGCACAAAGCCTCGAAACAGTGCGTTCCGGCTGCTCTTCTGGCTGGTTCCCCTGACCACCAGCACTGATGTGGGTCTTCTCACATGGCAAGCGGAACATGGGGTCAGGCCTGTGGGCCCTCAACCCATACCTGCTGTCAAACAAAGCAAAACCTTGCAGAGTGCTGCTCCTCCTGGCTCTTTCCTCTCTGCCCTCATCCCTCGGACCCCGTGCAGAGCAGCGCCTTCCTGCCGTGGGCATGTGCTCAGAGCAGCCGCAGCGTGGAGCTCTGGGGAGCCCTGGGGAGTCCAGAGGACGGGCCGGGGCACAGCCTCTGTGCTGCTCTCTCTGCTTTAGCTTTAAAGAGTCCTTGGGCATGTGCCCTTCCTGTGGCCTTCAGCCTGCTCTTCTAACTGGGCTTCAGTGGGGGGGGATTGTGTCACACAGGTGAGCTTCATGACAGACACCCCATTGGGACCCAACGTTTAAAGATTTATTTCTCCCCTTTGTACCCATCTGCTCAGACATTGACTGGGCATCCATCAACCTTATGGCGCCTGCGGACACAGGGCAACGCCTGGCTGTGCCCTGCTCGCGTCTCTGTTCGCTGAGCCCTGGGACAGGCAAGAGCCCATCTGGCTCCTTGGGGCATGTGGTGTCTGAAGTGGCAGGAAGGCAGTACCTGACAGCACAGTGTGGGTGTCACTGCCCTGTCTGAGGACACCCTGCAAGACCCCAAGTCCTTGCAGCAGGGCCAAGCTGAGGTGGAAGACCAGAGCTCCCAGAACCACCCTGGGGCAGAGGTGTCAATGTAGCTTCCTTAGGACCACAGTCACATCTGTTCACACGCCTGCATGCAGGGTCCCCTTCTCTAGTCCAAAGGCCAAAGGCAGCTTGCTCCAGTATCATAGGAACCCTGGTGTCCTCAGCTTCACCCCTCAACCTGGGATTGCTCAGCCCTTTATCTTGGGGTGGGGGCTTGTATAGTAGGCTTGGGGGAGCTGTGGGGGGCTGTGGTTGCCAGGCGCCCACCAAGCCAGCTGCATGTCACCATGTCCGTGTGCTGTCACCCTCAGTGTCCCTGCTGCAGGTGACTCGCATCCCCACAAGGCAGAGGCTGGAGAGCAGAGCAGGTGGGGCCCTTGCAGACCCTTGTGGCCTTGGACCTGATGGATCTGAACAGTGGCTCCAGGTCCTGAAGGCTGCCCTGTGTCTGTGGCCCTGCCTGCCTCATGTGAGGCACATGGGAGAGAGTGAGTCATCCTTGGTCCTGAGCTGTATGGCCCCAAGCATATTTCCTGGGGTCTCTCTTTGGTCTGGCCTGGAATCCTGAGGAGGGCTACTCACCCAGTGGCCAGAAATGCATGGATAACTGATCTCGGCTTGAAAACTTGGGCAGTCCTCAGGACTGAGCATTTATTCATGGAGCAAGCACCCTGTGCCATACAAGTGGGCAATGACTGGACAGGGGAGGGCTGTGGAAGCTCTGTGTCCTCTGAGCCCCCAAAACCAGCTTCAGGGGAGGTCAGGTATCTGGGGATGAAGGTGGATCCAGCCTGGGGCCAGGTCCGAGGTGCATTCAGGGGCCAGATCCTTGTCTGGGATGGTCTATGAGCTGCTGGTGGCAGGTGCTGGGAGGGTGACTCCATCCTGGGAAGGAGGGAGGAGCCTGGTGACAACCACTGAGAGGCAAGGGCAGCAGAGGGTGCTGCAGGGCTTGGATGGGTGGGGCTCTCCCTTGGGGTCCTGACCCACCACTGAGGTCCAGTCTCTGCAGTCAGCAAGCCCAGAGGCAGGCCCCACCCACCCACACCTGGGGGTTCCTACCGCATTGAAGAGGATGTTGTCAAAGCCAGGTGCTGCCACGTCCTTGTTACTCCTGAAGGGGCAGCCTCCCTTCTGCAGCCAGTGGCGTCCCCCAAGTCCCAGCAGCACCAGGAGTATGAGGAAGAGGAGGGCCCCTCCAACCAGGGCTGGCACCATCATGGATGCTGTCATGCCTCCTGTGGGCCAGAGGGCACAAGAGCCCTTCACACCAATCACCCCCCATGCCTGGGGGTGAGGATTAATCCTGGGGCCATCTGGTTCCCCTAGTCCTGCTGGCTCTGGGTTCACCCTCTTCAAATGAGAGTGTGTTGGTATTGTCTACAAAGGCTACAGCAGCAGGCTGGGGGTCGTGGCCCTCAGCCGTCTGCAACTATGCCAAGGACTGGCCCTGCACTGGGCCCAGGGAGCACAGCCACAGGCAAGCCTGGGGAGGGGCCCTGAGGGTTAGTGGGGTAGGTGGGGAGGACACAGGGCTGGCCTGGGATTCTCCTGGGTGGTGTGCAGGGTGCCTCCTTGGAACTGTCTCCAACCTGCAACCCAGTGCTTACCCTGACTGAGTGCAGGCTGCTGGCAATGCTGCCCGGCCAGGTACTCCACATCGTCTAGAGCAATGGGCCCCAAAGCTGGCTGACCACCCAGAGTGGCTTCAAACACGATCTGATGGGGAAGTAAAGGGGTGAGGAATTGGAGGGAGCGAAGAGGGAGGGCAGCTCAGCTGAGGTGCAATGTCTCACCTGGAACTCCTCGGTGCTGGTCACCTCAACCTGGACTTCTAGCCACTGGTGCCGCAGGTGTCCACCTTTGCCCCACACAGCCAGCTGGCCCTGGGCACTGCTCAGGAGCACCCTCAGCTCTCCCTTGTCTGGAAGTGGGGGCTGGGGTGTCAGGTGCCTGGCCTCGTGTGAAGTGGAGCCCCAGACCTCTCCTCTGACCCCTCTCCCCACACCCAGGCATCCAAAGGCCCAGCCCAACTTACAGAAGTGCTCGGGAAATCCCATGTGGTACCAGAAGCGGAGGCAGGAAGCAGTGGTGGCTGGCAGAGGCTCGCTGCGCAGCCAGGCCGCCTGACCCCCTGGCCCCAGCACACTAGTTTCGAAAAAGGCAAAGTGGCCTGGAAATAAAAGGCCAGGGTGCCACGCTGTCCCCTTGACCCTACCTGTGGTCCTTGGCCTAAGGACCACGAGCAGGCAATGCCATGTGGTGCCATGGCAGTGTGGCTGGGTAGTCACTGCCCCAGCTTGGTCCCCTGTTCTGGCCAGTACACACCTGCTTCTGTGCCTAGGGTATGGTCCACAGTGGGCAGTGGGTAGCGGGAGGGGGTGTCTCCACCACTCCAGTCCCAGCTGTACCTGCCCAGGCCAGGCCAGGCCAGGCGGCTCCAGCCACACAGGCCAGATTCAAAGTCACAGGACCCTGCAAGAACCAGCTGGTGAGCAGAGCTGTCCCCATTGCCCATCGCAGGGCACTGGCCCCCGCCAGGGAGGGGCAGGAGGGCACCACCTTGCCGAGGACAGGGCCCATCCTGAAAGGAAAGGTCGTCCAGTGCGATGTAGGAGTGTTCCATGCCAGCAGCCAGGGCCTCAAACACCACCTGCAGGTCAGGCCAGGCACTCTGCAGTCTGACCACACAGTGCTCAGGGGGAGCCAGGATCCCTGCCCCCCAGGGCCCAGGCACTCACCCTCCAGGCCTGCCCAGCCTGCACATCCACGCTGCCCAGGCGCCAGGCAAGCCCACCGTGGCCATAAACACTGAACACCTGGCGTCTCTTGCCCTCCTCCACGTGGACTCGCAGAGTGCCTGCCAGGCCAGGGCCAGTGGGGGAAGACATCCACATAGTGCCCCAGCCCTGCACAGGGCCTGTGGGACACCAGCCCAGCATTGACTCCCCAGGCTCTGCCCACAGCTCCTCACCTGGGTTGTGGAGGCTTAGGTGGTACCAAAAACTCAGGCAGGTGGGCTGAGCCAGAGGCTGGTGCTCCTCTGAGGTCAGGGAGGCCACATGGCCCTGAGGCAGTGCAATTGGGCTTGTGTCCACCACCATATAGTGCCCTGGGGAGTGGCCAGCATCAGTCTGCCTGCCCCTGGCTGATGTCCTCCACCCACCCCTTGCCAGGCTCAGTACCTTGGGCTGTGTCTGTGGTATGGTCTGTCTGGGGGCCCCAGAGGGCGTGGCCTGAGGCGTTGGCTTGGCGCTTCCACAGGCCCTGCCCTCCAGTGGAGAAGCCGCAGGCAGAGTCCTCAAAGGAGCAGTGCCTGGGGGCCCAGCAGGGCCCGGGCCGCACAGCCACGTCGTCCAGCCCCATGGTGCCATGGTACCCATCCCGGAGGCCCTCAAACAGCAGCTGGGGGTAGAGGGCGTCAGCTGGCTGGGGCCTGCCCCCTGCACCCCTCTGCCTGGCACTAGGCTTACCTGGTACTTGGTGCTAGGCTCTAGCTGGTGATGGAGGGTGGCCCAAGCCTGGTGCCAGCGGTTGCCATGGGTGCCTGACCGCGACCATAGCAGCGTGTCCTCCCCCCCGTCCCTCCTCATGATTAGGCGCAAGGTCCCTGCAGGGTGGTGGGGTTTGTGGGGATCAGCCCCAACTGCTGACCCTTGAGGCCCCAGCAGGCACCAAACACCTCTTGGATTTCTGGGGCATCCATGAAGGCCCTGCCAGCTCCAAGGCTCACCAATTTGGGGTCCATACAGGTGATACCAGAAGCTGAGACACTCCTTGGGGGTTGCTGGGGTCTGGGGCCCTGTGAGCAAGTGGGCACCACGGCCACGGGCAGGGGGGTTTGTGGGGTCCAGGAGCATGAAAAAACCTGCAGGAGAGGCACAGGCTGGGCTCAGAGATGCACTCCCAGGGCTAAGGGCCCCCCGGCCTGAAGGGCCTCTCACCTTGGCCAGTGGTGTGGTCATACCCAGGGCCATGGCTCTGTATCCGACGCCAGTGGGCATCTGTGAAGTGGCCCATGTGCCAGCCGCAGGTATTCCGCTCAAAGTTACAGGAAACCTCTGGGGGCAGGGGGGGTCAGCACCCCATCCACCCGCACATCCCTCCTGAGCCCTGGGTGGTAAAGACTCTAGGGGTCCCTGGAGGTGCGTTGGGAGCCCCCTGGTGGAGATGAGATGTGGACAGGAGAGACCTTGGTCTTTCTCGGTGGTTGCAGTGGGGCTGCAGTCCCTCATTGTCACGTTGTCCACCCCGGCCCCCTGCTGGCCAGGGCTGTCCCAGTCCACTAGACTGACAAACTCCAGCTTCAACATGGTAGAAGAAAGGGACTTAGGTCAGGGCCAGGCCTGTGCCCATCCCTCACTCTGGACTGCCCTTCTTACCCGGAATGGCCGGTGGCGTGCTCCAAGAAGGACCTTGTCCACCGTCCAGTCTCCTGTGCTGCTGCTTGGGGCCTGCCACACCAGCTCCCGGGAGCTGCCCTGCAACACCACCAGTGCCAGGAAGCCTGGAGGGAGGGGTCCCGGTGGGTGAGCCTTCCCCAGACCCCCCCCCTCCATGTAGGGGTGTCTTGGGACTGGGCAGAGGACCTCGGGTGGGCTGTACCTTGGGGGTCACTGTGGAAATAGTAAGCCATGTGGAGTTCACAGTTGGGGCCTGAGGGGCCCAGGGGGGATGTGAGGGCCCGGGCCTCAGGCCTCAGCTGCCCCCAGGCCTTCTGTAGAGACAGGAAGTGCCCTGGGCGGGGAAGCAAGGCACTCACAGTCCTGTTCCTTCCAGGCCACCACTCTGTTGCTCAAGGACCCCCAATTCCAAAGGACCCCTGGGGACTCTGGGCCTCACCAGCAGCAGCCCCGCGAGCATCCCTGCCAGGCCCCCTGCTTTCCTGGGCTGCAACCCGCTGCCACTGCAGCTGCCCCACGCTGGCATCCTCCCAGCCCCCGGCCGTGGCAGCCTCAAAGTCCGTGGTGCCTGCAACAGCAGCAGTATTAAAGGGAGGGCCATGGCCACCGAGCCTCCCGCTGCCTCTGGGCGCCTGCACTGGCAGGGTTCTGCAGGAGGCCTCACCACACTCCTGCTCGTCCTCGCCCTCTGGGCATTGTTCCTGGAAGTCACACAGCTGCTCTGGGGGCACACACAGGTCCCCACAAGAGAGATATCCCAGCTCACAGACCTCCTGGGGATGGAAACTGGACGGCTGGGGCCGGAGGGCCTGGACCCAAGGTCCCGTAGGCAGTGACTGTAGGTCAGACCTCCCTGTGGGGTAGAGCTGGGGTCAGGTGGAGGTTGGGGGCCACTGTGCTTCTCCTGGGCAGGCCAGGGGAGGGATTTGGGCAGGTCACCTGGAGCTGTTCTGCAGTGGTCCGACAGGATGAGGTCATCCAGACCCACCACGCCTCCTGGACCCGTTTCCCCAGCCAGGAGGATCTGAAGGCAGGGATGCTCAGGGACACACTGGGCCCCTCAGTGCTCCCTGGGGTCTGCTCACGGACACCCACTCCAGATTCACATGCTACTTGTGCTATGTAAATGGCTGGACCCCACTCCTTTTGACCCCCAGCCACCACCTGGCCAGTCTCACCTGGAAGGGATGGGCACTCCTGATGTCAACCCGGTCTCGTACCCACGCTGCTCCCAGCTCCCCACAGCGCTTCCGCAGGAGGACAGGGTCCTGGGGGGCACTAGGCCCCTGCATCTGCAGGAGCAGCTGGAGGCAGCCGACCTCGGACCCATGCAAGTAGTAGTAGAAGATGAGCTGTAAGTGACCTCAGGCTGGTCAGGGCCTGCAGCACTCAGGCAGACAGGACAGGGGAGCCTGCATGTGTTCCCTTTCCCCAAGTCTCACCGAGCAGTTGTGGGAGCCTGAGGCTTGGAACTCAGGGCTGGAGAGGACAGCAGGGGTGCCAGACTTGGCCATGGAGACTAGGAACATGCCTAGGGGAGAGGGCAGGTGTGAACTGGCATTGCTGGGCAGTTGCAAGGCAGACAGAGCCATGGCTAGGATTCTTTACTTCTTCTTCTTCTTTTTGTGGTGCTGGAGATTGAACCCAGGGCCTGTGCACGCAAGGCAAGCACTCTACCAATTCAGCTATACCCCCAGCCCATGGCCAGGGTTCTCATGGACCTCACCCTGTGCACTGTTCCAGCTGTGATCTCGGTTTGGCCAAGCAAGGTCCTCAGGGCCACCAGCACTGTGGTTCCGGGTCCAGCCTTCTGAGTGGTTCCATGAACCCAGGCCTGACTCAAAGTCAGTAGCCATGTGGTGGCCTTGGGCGGAGGCAGGGCTGTTATGGCTTCCTGCGGCCACATGGCCAGCCCCAGAGTAGACACTGGCTATTCCACCTCCAGAATGACCATGCCAAGGTATTTCCTCCCAGAGCAGCCCCCAGTGTCTTTCAAGGACCCTGGAGGTCAGGGTCGCTCCTCCCAGTCTCATCCTGCTGCCCAGCCCAGCCCAGCCCAGTCCTGGGTGGCCCTGGCCTCACTGCAGGTAAGCAGGTCTTCGTCGGAGCCATCCCCACAGTTGTCCTCCCTGTCACACAGCTGGTGTGGCTCTATGCAGGCCTTGTTCTGGCACTGATGGTGTCCCAGGGGACAGCTGGCCTGGGGGGCTGAGTGGGGGCAGGTTAACCTCTACTCTGGCCCCAAGACCTTGGAGTAAGTGGGCATGCTGGGGAAAGGACAAGGTGGCCTGAGCAGGGGAGCAGGTGGTGAGGGCCCCAGGGTGGAGACAGGGTGGCCTCACCAGGCAGCCCACAGCCCCAGAACTCCACATCATCCACAGCCACAGCTCCCTTGTGCGTGACATTTCGGGTAGCAGAGAAGGTCACCTGAAGAGAGCAGAGGTCCTTAGGGCCATTGGGGTCCAGGCCTTCCCCACTCCTCCCTGCCAGCCAGAGCACTCCAGCTCACTTGGAAGTCACCCTGGATACGGCCAGTGGTCACCACCAGCTCCTGCCAGCTGGGGCCCCAGGGTCCTGCACTCTTCCACAGTGTCAGCGTCTCTGTACCATGGGTCAGCTCCAGCCGCAGCTCAGCCACATCTGCAGCAATTGGGGAGGCCCTGGAGCAGTTGCAGCCCTACACTACCTCCCCTGAGCATGCCAGCTATGCCCTGGCCACCCTCCTCTGGGGTGGGTACCCTCCTTTCTCCTTCCAGCCCCTCTCCAGAGCTACCCTACCCTAGATCTCTGGGGGTCTTGGGCACACACCTCCAGACGCTGCATGGTACCAGAGTCTCAGCTCACAGGTGGGGGCTGCCTCTTGCAGGACAGGGGAGCGCAGGGCTGCAATGGATGCCTCCTTCCCACGGTGTGTTCCCACAGCCATGTACCAGCCTGGTCCAGGTGGTGAGGTCAGGAGATGGGCAGCAGGGCAAGAGGGGAGGGTGGGAGGGCACATGGACTTGTGGGGGCCTCACCCAGGTCAGTGCCAAGTGTGTGGTCGGAGTGAGGCCCGGGACCCTCCAGCATAGCCCCTGCTCGGTCTCGGAGCCAGCTGTAGCCCGAGGTGCTGATATCCTGCCAGCCACAGGTATCCTGCTCAAAGCCGCAGGTGAAGGGGGTGCCCGGGATAGGCAAGGCCCCATGGTGCCCTGGGAGAATGGGTGGTCAGATGTCTGCCCCAGCACTGGCCTGCCCACCTTCCTGGCCCCAGCTCACCGCACTGGGCCTCGTCTGAGCAGTCCCTGCAGTCGCACACAAAGTTGCATGTGGCCTTGCTGGGGCTCTTGCAGTAGTCAAGTAGCCAGGCCCGGCCTGGGGACCATGCTGCTGGCAGAATGACAGCCACGTGGGTCTGGGCAGGGTAACTGGCCATCCCACTTTGCCCAGGACTGATTTTAGCACTGGAAGTTCCATGCACCTGAGCAGTACAGGACACTGGGCACCCAAATTCGGGGCTCAGACTCACAGGGTCAGGCAGGAAAGAACCTGGGACCCACAGAAAACTGTCAGGAGCAAACAGAGCACTTCCCCATGTTCCCAGCCCCGCTGGCCAAGCAGAGACTGCAGAGCAGAGGTGGGTGTACACAGGAAATGGGGCCTTCAAAGAGGGATACCCCCTGGGCTGAGGTTGTGGTTCAGTGGCAGAGCACTTGCCTGGCATGTGTGAGGCACTGGGTTCAATTCTTAGCACCTCATATAAATGAGTAAAATAAAGGTCCATTGACAACTAAAATAAATTTAAAAAAAAAGGGGGGGCACCCTTGAGGAAGGTACAGGAGCCCACATCACTCGGGAGAGAACTAAAAGGGCTCCCAGGAGGATGTCCCCCAAGGAGACACAGCATTGGGTGACCCAGTGTCCCCCACAAACCTTGCCATCCAAGGTGGCAGAGAGAGAGCTGGGAAGATACACCGTGATTGCCCCAGGGCCTCTCCTTCGGGCAGAGAGGCTTGTTCCTTGGCAGGCTGCCGTCCTTCTCTAGGGACTCTGGTGTCAGCACTGGCATAGCACCTGTCCCCAGCACCCAGGCAGCAAGCTCAGTAAGACCAGCTGACTCACCCACAAGCAGGACCAGGGCAGGCAGGAGGGGGCCCGGAGGTCGCATGGCCAGGCTGGAGGGAGTGAGGCTGAGCCGCCTGGTGAGGACTCTGTCCAGTTATCAGTCTTTAGCAGCCCCACAGGCTGACTTGGCTCCAACCAAGGGGCCTAGTCCCTTTTGTGCCTCTGGCCCCTTGGGAGGGCCCCACTCAACAGTGATGGGCCAAGCATCTAGCTGTAAAAGTGTCCTCAGGAGGGCCCCTGGCCCCCGACCCAGGGTTGGATCTCACTTGCCTGGCTCTTTGTGACCAAAGGTCAGGCCATCCTGGGCACCTGCTCAGCCTTCCCTAGCAGAGGCTCTTTCTGAGGTGGGGTGGGGGATCCCACCAGCAGGGCTCTGTACAGCAGTGTTGGGGTGGCAGAAATCACTGTGGCTTCTCTCATGGGGCCTCTGGCCCCACCTTGGTACAGGTCAAGGTCAAGGGAGCCCACCCCAATAGCTGCATATAGGATTCCAGCATGTGTACCCCAGAATCTACCTTTGTGTTCTCCACCTTGGGGACAGTACAAGCCCAGTATGAGGGTGTAATGTTCTCCCTCCTGCCCCACATGTAGCTCAGGCTATGAATCCCCACCCCTTCATTTACTCATCCTTCAAAACTGCCCTGAGCCAGGTGCAGTGGTGCACGCCTGTAACCCTGCTGCTTGGGAGGCTGAGTCAGGAGGCTGGCCTGGGTAACATATGGAGGAGACCTATCTCAAAATAAAACAAAAAACAAAACCCTTCAGACTGTCCTGAGCAGCCATAGGCTGGGTGGTCTGTAATAGGGACAGGGCTCCTGGAAGCCCAGGAACTTCTGGTTCTCTAGGAGAAGACTCACAGTTGGGGCAGGAGGGATACCAGGACTGTGGAGGAGCATGGTTCTGCCTGACCTCCTGCTGTGTGACCTCAGGTTGCTGGTCTGTAGTGTCTGCAAAGGGCCTGCCTGGAGAGGTGGCCTGGAGGGTCTAGCCGTGGGACCTGCCAGCTTTAGCCCTGGCTTCCCCCAGCACCCACTGTCACTGCATACTATGTTCTACTGTGCCTGGGGGCCCCAGGGCAGGGGCCAAGGTCCTGAGGGTGTGAGAGTGTCCAGGAGAGGGGGCTCTAAAAGCTGGAAGCCCTGGCCTTGTCAGAGTGAATGGGACCCAGCAGTGGTCCGTGTGTGGCCACAGAACTCAACCCCGAAAGCAAAGGCTGTGGGTCACACCATCTGTGTCCTTGGCTGGCAGTTGCTCTGGCCACACGAGAAGTCTCCAAGGTGGTCCCAAGGGCCTGTGATAGCCAATGTTAGCTGGCCAGGACAGTGGCCACTGGAGCTCCCCTGCCAGGAACCTTGGGCTAAGCTCTGGGAAGGGGCACCTGTGTATCTCAGGCCTCGCCTGGCCACAGGGGACCAGGTACTGATTCCTTGTGCAAGGCCTTGTGGGGCCTCTTCCTGGGTGTCCTTGGGGATAGCAGTTGCAAAGGAGCAATCAGACCATAAATGGGATTACCCTAGGGCCCCTTATCAGACCCAAGGGGCTAAGTGTGCACTGCCACGCCCTGGGGCCTCCAGAGGCTGAGTAGAGGGGTCCCCAGTTATGACCAAGGGGCAGGAAGCCAAGACACAGGAACCGCAAGGCATACCAAGCTTTTAATTTCCACAAGCCAGGCTGGTCTGGCCTCTGAGGCCCAAAGGGCTGGCACATTGCCAAGAAATGCAAAAGAAAAGGGCTGGGCCAGCCTCTCAGGAGGGATTCCAGCAAGGACAGAGTCCTCAGTGGGGGCTGGGCCTCAGTAGCCATCATCAGCCCAGGTGACCTCGTAGTCAGGATACTTGGCCTTGATCTTCTCAGTTGAGATGGAGTGCTGGGCACGACCATAGCCCTGGAAAGGTGACAGTTACTAGCTCCACCTGGCCCTTGGCTCTGAGAGTCTAGCCAGGCCAAGAGTGGGCTTAGAAGGGGTACCAAACCCACCACCAGACAGTCCTGGGCACATACAGGTGGGGGCACAGAGGGCTCCAGAAGTGAGCTTGTGGGCTCTGAGTTGCACCCTAGCAATGACTGCCCCCAAGAGCCCCCCAGGTCAGGGAGAGACCCACCCAGCCTCCTGTTCCAAGGCAACTGTCCTCCCACCCCTAGTGCCACTTGCAAAATGTAGGGGAAGCCTTAGGCCCTTGAGAGAGAGAGGGTTCTGAACCCACTGGGAGAATCCAGGTCTCCTGTGAGGCAAGTCAGGCCGTTCTGTGTGGGGTCAAATGGTCCAGGGAGGGCTTTGTAACCAGGACAGGGACCTCAAACAGGGCTCACCATGGAGTAGCCATAGACGTGAATCTTCTTGTCCTGGCTCTGGTGGGAGATGCGCCCACCCCCCAGGCACTCGCAGTCATAGCCCTTCTTTTGCAGTTCGCCAGACACTTTGTCGTAGATGTCGGCTGGGATGTGCAGAACAGCTTCAAGAAGTGCTCAGGGTGCCCTTGGAGGCCACCTCTGAGCAGCCCCTTCCCCAGTGGAAAGGAAGCCCCTCCCGGCTGGCACAGGGATGAAGGCTTCGATGGGATGCTCCACGGCGAGCACCGGGGTTAGAGAGGAGTCGGGCCGTGGCACCCCTTCCTGCGCGGGACCCAGACTTCTCTAGGTGCTGGTGCAGGACGAAGCCCACCAGGACCCACAGCCTCTCCGGCTCCGCCCACAGCCTCCCGGCCCCGCCCAGAGGCGCGCCCCGCCCTCACCGTGGTACTCCGCCCACTTGTAGCCACGCACGATCTCCTTGCACTCCCCGGCCGGAGCCCCGGAGGGCTGCGCTGAGTGCACTCGGACCAGCACGTATTTGAAGACGCCGTCCGGATCGATGTCCACTTCAGGAATCTGGGCGAGATCCGCCGCCGCCATGTTCTCCGGAGTGCCTGTCCCCGGTGCCGCGGTCCCTTCTCCCACCCAAACCCGGGCTGTGCCGAGTGCCGGAGGCGGGCTCTGTGACAGCTATGGCCAATCCCGTGGGGAGATGCTGCTTGAGGCCCGGAGCCTCAGCCAGTCGTGCCGCGGACCTGGGGCACAGACTGACCAATCGCGGTGCAGTTCCTTGCAGCCTTGTGCCCACGCTGCCGCATTTAAAGGGAAAGTGGACTAGGGAAACGAGAAGTGATTACGGGCAGCCGACGGAAAAATTCCTTTTCACTGGGGTTGGGGGAAGGCACTTTGGAGGGGGGCTGTTACGCGGCCCTTGAAGCAGGCGTAGGACAGGAGGCCCCAGGGATGCGCCCCGGAAACCCCCCAGTCCCCAGTGCCACCCTTCCGAGCACACACCGACGCCCGAGGGTCGCACCCCACCGGCCGAGGAGCTCCCTCCCAGAGCGCCCCCCCCCCCCGCGACCAGTGACCTCCCTCCCCAGACACCCACGAAGAGACAGCAAGCAGCAGCTACATTCAAGTTCTATTTTACTTGGTTTGAAAGCGCTCGCCCTCTAGAAACGATTCCCGTCTAGGGGCGTTCCTGTGGGCCCTCAGGTGCGGGGCCCAATGCGGAGGTCCCGTGGCGGGGCGCAGCAGCGATTGCAGCAAGCGGGGCACCGGGCCGGTGCAAATCGCAGGCCCGGGCGGGGGCTCAGGGGTGTCGGGGTGGAGACACCGTCAGGGGTGAGAGCAGGGCGCGGAGGCAGGGCTCACAATTTATCGCGCTTAATACCCGCTCCTCTGGCTCCGAAGGGATTAGAGGATCCATGAGGGCCCTTGCACAGCGCCTGGCCTATCTCCTTTCTCAGTTACAGGTCCTCTTTGGAGCCCGGGTGCGGAGCAGGATGCCCAAGGGAAGAGTGGTGGGGAGAGGGCACGGCGGAGGGCTGTCTGGGTGTGCGCTCCCCAAGGCATACCAAGCTCGTGAGTAGCAGAGTGAGAGCACTGGGACCTGTGTGCAATCGTGCAGTGGAGGGACCTGACATCGGGCTTGTCACATAGCTCTTCAGTTGAAACTCCATTGGCTGCTAACTCACTCCTCTTTCTCTACCCAGCAACTATCTGGGGATCCCCCTGAACCTTCCAGGTCCTTCCTTTGGCAGCAGGTAGATGCAGCTTCCTGGAAGGCGTCTGTGCTGTCCTCCCAGCTGGTCCATCCTATGCACATGCTTCTGACCTCCTGCCAAATTAGGGCCTGCCTTTGCATGCACACCACCAGGTTCTACTCTGGCACCTGTCTAGGGCCATCTTGTTGAGTATGGGCAGACCCCGGACCCTTGCCTGGCATGTGCCCACACCCAGATGCTCTGCTTTTCCTGCCCCAAATCCCCTCTGGCTGTTGGGCTTGCCCTTGGCTTGAAGACCTCTGAGTATCCAACCTCTCCTGCAAGACTTAGACCAAGGTGGTCAGAGGTGAGAGGCTGCAGGATGAGCAACACCTCAGAGTCTGGCTAGGCACTCACACATAGCTTTCTCACTTGGGGCATGGATGCACGAAGGCTAATCAGGGTGTTCTCCAGGAAGAAAGGTCTCTGAGGGAGTCACATCCCAGAGACAGGAGGTGAGCTTAAAGTGTCTATACTAGACTTTGGTCATCACGGGCTCCTGGACGAGCAGGGAGGGAGAGCAGAGGCTTCATCAGAGCCCCAGAGCAGATATGGATCCATTTGCACGAGTAGGGTCTGTGCAGTAGTGACCCTCAGCAAAAAGGCAGAGCCTGGAGGTCCTCAGGCCCACCCCACCTTCCAGCGGGGAGCACCTAGGGCGAGGACTGGTCTCTGTGGGCCGGAGGGCTGACTCTGGAAGGTGGGCACTGGGCAGCCCGGTGAGGAGTTGTGGGGAGGAAAGAGTTGGGAGAGCACAGTGGGGTGTGGGAAAATGGGGGGAGCTGGGAGCGGGGGAATTTGTTGGGGCAGGGCTCAAGAGAAGCAGCATGAGGGGCTGGTCTGGGCCTGGATGGAGTGAGTGAGTTGGGCGGGGCTCGGGGGCGGCCCTGAGTGGACCGGGCGGGGCCTGAGTGGGCTAGGCAAGGATTCTGATCAGGGCCTGAGTGGTGTCCTCAAGCCTCACATGATATCGTCCAGCAGATTGGCGCTGGCCACCCAGTCCAGCGCGCGTGGCTCAGAAGCAGCCATGATCATGCACATGAAGGGGCGGCCGGTGCGCCGGTCTGTGGGGTAGATGGTGGTGGGCGTGAAACGTCGGTTGGCCTCCACGAACTCACAGAGCTGCTCATAAACGCGCGGGAACTCGTGGCGCAGGAATACACCGCGCAGCCGCAGCTCCCTTTGGATGTGGATGAAGGCCACCTCTCTAGCCCGCCGGCCCGCCTCGCCCTCCTGGTCCAGGCCCGCCGTGCCTGGCGGCGGGGTCAAAATCAATGTTTCCATGTCAGGCTCACGGCCCCGCACGGGGGGCGGCCGCGCCGGACTGCCTGCAGCCAGTGCTACCTTGGCGAACTTGCGCACAGTGGGCCCAGTGCTGCGAGGCGCGGGCGCCGGCCGAGCGAGCGCCCCGGAAGGCGCGGTGCCCGGACCTACCGCCACCGACACACTGAGTAGGAAGCACTCAGCCGGCTCATAGAGCCGCCCTGCGGCCGCCAGCTCTCGCGCATAGCTGCCCAGGGGCGCTGCGTGTGTAGCCAGCTCACGCAGGGACAGGTAAGTGGGCGACAACAGCAGCCCTTCGAGACCGAAGCGCAGGAAGTTGTCGGCCGAACCAGGACTTGGGAAGCCCAGGAAGAGCACGCCGCGGCCGCGGGACAGGAAGCCGACACGAGCGATGCGCGAGAAAGCGCGATGCACGGGGCCGCTGTCACGGCAGAACTGAAGCACGTGGCGGCACACGCTGCCTACGCGGCCGTACAGGCAGCGCGCCTTGTGTGCGTCCCAGTCCTCGCGGCGGCACAGGCGTGAACAGTAGTAAGTGTAGCAGCTGTGGCAGGACTTGAAGTAGAGGCAGGCGTTGAACATGGTTTCCGTGCGCCGGCAGCGCGCATTGGAGCAGGTCATCAGATCGTCCTCGTCCGCACTGGGTTCTGGAGACCGGTTGGCTGCCTCGCCCGGGCCTGCAGGCTCCTCGACGCTGCCAGCAGAGGCAGGGGGCGAACGCGGAGGCGCCAGCGCCGGGGCTCCAGGGCCCGTGGGCCGTGAGTCCAGCGCGCTGCGGCGCAGCTGGCGGCCCAGCCCCTCTGCCGCCGGCTCTGGGGCTTGGCCGGCCGGTGGTCTGGAGTCGATGACCAGATCGGTAATGAGCTCGTCTAGCTGCTCTAGGCTGCGCTGGCGGCCAGAGGTGGGGCCCATGGGAGCCACCGATGAGGGCAGACGCGGCCGGCCTCCCGGCAGCTCCCAGCCCCTGACAGTCGGGCGTTCGGCGGCGCGCAGGTCGTTGTCGGTGATGGTAATCTCTGGAGTGACATACCAGTTACGGCTCAGGCCTTCCCCCGCTCGGCCCTTTTCGGACAGCGAGGTCTCAGACAGCGAGAGCGCCGCGTAGCGTCTGGGTGAGGTGGACAAGTTCACTATTACTGGCGCGCGCCGGCCTTCGGGGGATGCGCCCCGCGGCTCCCGCACCTCCCGCCCTAGCAGATTCTCATAGCTGCGGCCCCGGCCTAGGGGGTCCTCCCGGCGGGGCCCTGGCGCCAGGATGTTGTCCCATGAGCGTGAGTAGTGGCGGCTGTCTGTGGCCAGCCGGGGCGGGCTGGTGCCGGTGCCGCCATGCCATGAGGCCAGCAGCGGGCCGGGGACGGAGGGAGGCACTACCTGCAAGGTGCGGTAAGGCCGGGGTCCCCAGTCGGCCCAGGCTGAGCTGTTGCGTGAGTGCGGGTAAGTCCGAGCTAGGGCGTCACGCTCGCGGTACCTCCCGAAGTCCTCTGTGTAGAAGGTGTGGGCCCGAGGATCCTCAGGAACGTAGCGGGGACCAAAGGGCAGTCCATAGGCCCTGGGGACCTCCCCGTAGTAGGAGCGGGAGGGCGGTTCCTGGATCGGGAAAGTGCGCACTTCCCCTCCATAGTAGCCGCCCCCACGCCTCGGACTGGGACCCCGGGTCTCTTCGGATGGGTAGGGCCTAGGGCAGTAGCCATCGAAGGGAGGACCAGGGCTGGCCGGAAATCCTCCTGCATAGCCCTCGGGCTCCTCGGTGTAGAAGAATTGTGTAGGGCCTGGAGGTGTGCTGAAGGGCTGACTGCGGCGCTCAGAGTAGTCCCGAGGCCCAGGCAGGGGCCCGTCGCAGTACAGCGCCCGGGGGTCCGCACAGTACAAGTCACTGGGGGTGGGGGTACGGGAGAGCGCCACGTGGCGGGGACCAGGCACCGTAAGGCCGTGGAACTGCGGGGCTGCACGGGCCCAGGACGTGTTGTCTACGGGCCCACAGGGCCGCGAACCCCGGGCGGCGTGCTGCAGCACAGCGTCATCTGGCTTGATGTCCAGTCGGCATCGGACATGGGGGGCAGGCCCCGTGGGGGGCTCTGGTGGCGCACAGCGGCCAGGGGCGGCACACAGGGGCGTGATGCGGCCAGGGCCGCTCCGTTGTGGCTGCAGCTTAATAGGGTGCAGTTCGTTGGCGAGCGCGCGCAGCGCGGGGTACGCAGGCTCCCGGCGAGGCGACCCCTCTACCCGCATCGCACGCTGAGTCTCCCGGCCTCGGCGCTGCAGCACGGGCGGCGAGGTGGGCGCAGGTGCCAGGCCCGGGGGCGCGCGGGGCGCGCTCTTGGAGCGGGCGCGGCGCCGAGGTTCGCCTTCTCGGGGCCGCGCGCGCGGAGCAGCGGGCTCCTGGGGTGGAGGCTCTGGGTGGGCCTCCATGGCCGGCCCGTCCAGTGCCTCCAGGAAATCGAAGCTGCGGCAGTGGCGCTTGTTGAAAGGCGCGGGCGCAGCAGGCCGGGCCACGGATTGCTCACATGGCTGGCGCCTGGACGCTGGCCCCGGGGCCGCCACCTTGATGTCCTGGTACACGGTCGACACCAGCAGGTCCGGTGGGTCCGTGCGGGTCATCTTAAAAGACGTCCCCAGGCTGGCGGCTCCAGCTCACGCGGCCTTTTGGGGCTTTTGCCCTGGGGGGAGACGCGGGTCAGGGCAGCCCCCTCTGCAGCCCAGGCCCCTTACCCTCCCACCACCCTGGCCCGGCTTACCTGGGGCGCAGGGAGTGAAGCAACCCTGGCTGCAGGCCTTTGCCAAGGCCGCAGGCGCTTGCTCCATGCCGGCCTTAGAGGTACCCATGCTGACCTTAGAGATTCCTGCAGATGGGGGTGGGCCAGGTCAGCCTGAAGGGCTTAGCCTGCAGTGGTCCACGCCTTCTTGTCCCTAGGCAGAATTCCTCTCCTTGCTAGTGACCCCTGGGCAGGTTTGGATAGACAGAACCCCCTTTCTTGGCAGAGCAGGCAGGTGGGTAGGAGAGGAAAGTGGGGAAATGGTCCTAGGACTACTGCCCTCTGGTGTCCACAGCTGGAATGATGGGGCTCATTTCAGCTTTACTGGAGTTGATTTACAAGTATAGATTCGTGTACAATGCCCAATGCAGAGTGACCCTTTTAGTTGTGCAACGTGAGAGGGAAAGTCCAAGGACCCTAGCCTTAGCCAGTCCTACAGAAAGTCTCAGACATCCCCACTAGCCTGCTGACCAGGCTGAGCACAGTACCCCTCACTCAGGGTTTCAAGGGGTAGGGACACTTGACTGCATCCAAAGCATCCAAAGCAAAAATGTCCTCAACTCCGAGTGGCCCAGGCCATAAAAAAGTCCTCAGAGAGCATGCCTGGGCCTCCTTTGACCCCAGCTGTCTTAGGGTGGCTGAAATCCACCAAGCTTGATGGGACAGGCAAGGAAGGCTGAAGATCGCCCCCACCAGCTTTGCATAAGTGCACATGGACACCGCCCGGTGTATACATGGCAGCCTCAAAGTCAGGCCCAGGCCATGGAACCATGTACTTATGGCGTCCATCTTCCTCAGCTGAGAATTAGCTCACTCGGCCAGGAGGCTGCCAGCTGTGGGGGGGCGGGGGGGAGGCAGGGTGGAGGGCGGGGAAAGCTCCCCCACTGCCTCCCAGGAGAGGGCCCTACCCCCTCCTCCTTGCACTCCCAAAGGCTCCATGGAAACCTGTGGTTCTTCAGCCCCTGAGCTGCAGGCTTGGCTGGGTCCAGGCTCAGGTTCAGATATGGGCCACAAGAGCCTCCAGGTCCCCAGGGCCAGAGGCTGGCTGGGGAGATGCTCAGAAAGAGGTGACAGCCCTCCTCCTCCTACTCAGCACCCACTTGGGGGGCATCTGCCCCAGGATAAACTGGGGGAATTAATGAGGGGCTAGCCCTGCCCTCACCTGGCAGGACTGTAGGTGGACAGGCCGTGGAGAGTCAACTGTGTCCCAGCTGAGCATCAGATTTCTGCTCACAGGGCTGCTTTTGGGTTAGGGCCACTAAGTCCAGTCTATGTCCCCATCCCAGGCTAATGCCCACACCAGTCAGACCCCTCTTTCATCCTAAGCTCAAGGCCAGGCTGGAATCTAGGCTGGATGACAGGGTGTGAGGCTCCGCCCCAGGGAGGTGACAGCCAGCGTTGCCAGCTGCGGCTGTCGGGGCCTGGACTCTGACACCCCCTCCCTGTGGGGATGGGGTGGCGTTGGGCAACTCCAGGACCCTGGGTCTTCTGGAGCCCACACGGATGGCCAAGCAGCCTTCCTTACCTCCCAGCCCTGCCCTGGCCTGTCCTGGAGCAGCCATCGCAGGAACTAGCCTGTGCTGGTTGGGGGCAGGGATGTCCCATCCTCTCAGATAGCTTCTGCTTGACAATAGCATGCTAGGCAGTTCACCCTGGCCTCTTACCTGGACGTTGCCCGAATCCTGGGTGGGCTGCACCGGCTCCAGCCCGGTCCTCTGTATCCCCCGCACTGCTGCGCCGGGGCACCGGCAGAAGCTTCCAGGCAGCAGCGCTGATCCTGGCCTGGCTGCTCAGTACTGCCCCCAATGGCAGCCAAGGGGGCAGCACTTAAAGGGGCCGCACCCGGTGGGGGCTGCGCAGCAGGGCTAGGGCCCGGACTGGTTTGCTCTTGCTCTGCTTTGGAGCTTTGCTGAGCACAAGGTTTTCAACATTCCCAAAATACAGGTCTCAGGGTCCTGAACCACGTCCAGGAAGAAGCCTGATGGTCTCACCAGCACCACCTCCAGGGCACCTGCACAAGCAGCAGGCAGCTTGGCAGAGCCTTAGGTCAGGGACCTGGAGGAGCCCCAAGCCCTGGCCTCACTGCAGACTGGTCAGGGGCTCCCAGAATGCATGTCTCCGGTTAAGCCCAGGCAGGAGCAGATGGGTGACTCCCTGCCCTGTCAGTCTTCCCAGGTACTGTCTATTTTGGAGCTTGAGGTGCCAAAATCTCCGCAAGTACCTGGAGCCAGATGGCTCACTCAGTCCAGAGCGGGTCCTTGGCTGTTTGTGTCCAGGCCAGTGGGCTGCGATTGCCCACTGCCCACCAGGAGGGTCTGCATGTGGCTCATTCTTCAGCCACATGGCTCTGTCCTCATTCCAACTCTTGCCAGCCCTGTGACCCAAGTACCAAGCCCTGGGCTATTCCAGCTGAGTGGGGAGGGGAAGGATGCCTCTGCTGTCTGTCCTGCTGGGTAGGGCCCCCACTAGTGTCCTACTGGGGCCACCACAGTGCTGCTGTGTGGTCCTGGGCAAATTCATTTGCCGTGAACCTGTCCCACGTCAGGACCTCACAAGCTGTGGGCCACAAGGTCAGGCTCTAAGGTCAGCTGATTCCTGGCACAGACCTGCTCAGTGGAGAACTGTGCCTCCAGGACATACTGCACCCTGGCAGGGGTCTAAGGGGAGAGTTTGAGCATTTGAGACAGGCTGGCCTGGCCTACTGCATGGGCAGGAGATGCTGCATTGTGCCCCATCCCTAACGTCACCAGCTCACAGCTCTGCCTGCTGGCCCCTGGAGGATTCCATGGCAACATCCTGTGGTAGGCGGGGGCTGGATGCTGCTGATTGCTGGTGAGGGTGGGGCTCTAAAGGCTGCAGGCAACTGCCCAGGAGGAAGGGAGGCTGTATGGGGCAGGGCACATTTGGCCTCACTGGGTTGGGCCCTGGGTATTCTGCAGCAGCTGCCTGGTGTTGGCCTAGGTGCACTACACCCAAGATAGCCTTGGCAGTTCAGCATAGACAGCACATAGCACATCCAACGCCAGGTGGGGCCCCTGGCTGAGCTGAGGCAGCCAGTGGTAAGTCAGAGACCACTCTTAGGTGAAGGAAGCTGCTTCTGGAGAAGGCATTTGGGGCTGTTAAGAGAACCTAGGTGAAGGAGTGGTAGGCTGGTCCTACCACAGGTGGTTCACAGAGCCAAAGAAAGGAAAAGAACAGACGCGGTGGTAAAACCAGAGCTTTATAGTCTGAGTGGAGTGTCTGAAAGGTGCCTCCAGCTCCAGCCTGGCTCACCTGCGCAGAGGTGCAGCTGCGCCCACCCTCTCCCAGGACAGGCCTCACCCTGCAAGGTGGGTGTGCCACTCTCCCATGAGTGTGCACCTGTGCTCAGGGTCCATGGGAAGGGATAATCCACAGCCCAAGGCTTGCGACAGGAAGCAGAACCCATTGGCATGCTGTGGCCCTGGAGAACCTGGGAGGGCAAGCAGGAGCACGGCTGGGTGGTGGACATCTGAGAAGCAGAGCAGCCCCATGCCCTGCCTCTGAAAACAGACCCTTGCGGGTCCCTCCTCTGCCTCAGTCACTTCCCTGAGAAACGCTGGGGACTGGCTGTGGCTCTTCCTGGAGAGGACCAGGTCATCCACCAAGCCAGCTGCAGCCCAGCTGTCCCCTCCCTCCTTGTAGAGCAGGCTCATGCTGGCCTGAGGCCCAGCACCTGTGGGGCCTGGCCAGAGGCCTCTGGCCACCAAGGCCTGGCCCTGGGCCTCCTCCAGCAAGGAAGCAAGTGCAGAGCGTGCTGGGCCAGGCCACATGGGGCAAAGGCGATGGCTGGGACACGCGGTAGGGTGGTCCTTTCCCAGAACAGTGGTGCAGGCTACAGCTCCTCATAGTCTCCACCCCCAGGGTGCCGGCCTGGGGCCCCGCCCCCCAGGAAGGCCTCTAGCTCGGTGGTGCTTCGAGGGGGCTTCCTCCTCTTCCTCCGCTCCTCCTTGCCCTCCTCCTTGTCCTTGCTCTTCTTATGTTTGCTCTTCTTCTTTGTGGCCTTTTCTTCCTCCTGGCAGGGGGACAATCAGTCACCTGGGGCCACTAGGGGGCCATAGCCTACCTCCCCCCAGTGCACAGGCCCAGGCCAGTAGAGGGTGGCTGATACCTCTCTGCTCTTCTTCTTCTTCTTCTTCTTCTCCTTGGTGAGCGGCCTGCCATCTTTGTCTGTGTGGGAGACAAGCTTCAGCTGTGGCTACCTTGCCCAGGTGGCGTGCTGGGCAGAGGCTTCTGCAGCAGCCCACTGCAGGTTGGGCCTGGCCACGGGTGACCTTGGAATCTCTCATGTGCTCAGGCTGACACACCATGAATAGGCCTGGGAGGAAACTCCTGCTACAGTGCAGGGTTAAGCTGCTGGTCAGGGTCTGAGAGTGGAGGACCAGGGCCAGCCTGCTGGGGCTGGAACCACCAGCAAAACCACGTGTGCTCAGAACTGCAGATCACAGCAGCTTTGTCCACACTAGGGGCCAACTTTGGAGTAGATGCAAGCTCTCAGAGTGCTGCCACCAAGTGCCTGCTATGTGGACCCCCAGCTGTCCACCCCTCCAGTCTGGTCCCAAACCACAGCCCTAGAACACTCATAATCCTGGGGTGTTGGCAGAACAGTGAACATCTGGGGATTAGAAGCTCAAACTCTCAGGCTTTGGCCCTGCCCCACACTGCTGGTATTAGGCTTGTGCATGTGGCTGCCTCAGTCCTGGGCCACACCAGGAGGTACAGCATAGCTGGAAGACCCCACTGGCCAATAGCTATCCCAAGGGAAAAAGCTCAGGCTGGGCTGACTCTTTTTAACACTGGCCTTTGGACAAGGATCATAGCCTGTATCTCCAGGCTCCAAAGAGGCCAATGGATCCCCACACACGCCCACCTTCCTCACTGCTCTCCTTGGGTCCTGTCTCATCCAGCCCCAGCCCAAAGAGATCGGCATCGTTCTTCATTCTGAAGGAGGGCACAGGAGGCCTGGGTGGTGGGAGTGTCTGGGCCGGGCTGGTGTCCTCGTCAGTCATGTCAGAGGGGTCTTCTCTCACAGGGAGCTCATCCTGGACAAGGAGAAGCTGGTAGGGCCACTGTCCCTTTCCACCCCCATGGTTCCCTGAAACAAGGTGGGGAGTTCTCAGGGGACTCCATTGACAGGTGTGTATGCTCCCAAGCCCATCCTAGAGTCAGGACCAGCAAGGCCTATGTAGGATGTGGGACATCCTGCACAGGCCCCATCTACTGTTCCCAGGCGGCACAGTGTCACAGCAGGACAGGAAGCCAGCACTGACCCATCTTCTTGGGCCCTCACCTCCTGACCTCCATCTCAGGAGGACAGTCAGCAAGCAACCTGTCCTCACCAGTTTTCGCTGAGTGTCCGACTCTTCGCTCTCAAAGTCAGGGTCGTCCATGACGAAAGACAGCATCTGGGCAGCAATGGGCCCCTCAGGATCACTCTCTGAGGACGACACCTGCCCATCTTTACCATCTCCAGGTCTGCGAGAGGAGCCCTTGGTGGCGAGTTTGGGTGGCTTGGTGCTGCTGAGCTTCTCAGGCCCAGAGCTAGTGGGAAGCCCGCCTGGCCAGGAGGGCGCTGTTGCTTGTATGGGAACTGCTGTCTTCTGTGGCCATGAAGCCTTGGATGACCTTCATGGCAAGAAGGGTCAGGAACTTGGAGGCCACCCTGGGATGCCCTGTCCCCAGCTCCTGGGCATTCCCTGGGGGCCCCACCCATACCGTTTTGGCTCTGGCTGTGAGCACTGCTGGGGAGGCAGGGCAGCACTTCTGGAGTGACCTGCCACCTCCTCTGCTTCCTCCTCACTCGAAAGACTGATGTGTGTGCTGGGGATGGGGCCAGAGGGCAGCAGGGGTTTGCCACGGGGCTGGTCTTCAAGATCCACATCGTCTTGGAAACCTGCTACCATCGGGTTCCCTCCTAAGGCCTCCCCGTCACTGCAAAGGAGGGGCAGGGCAGTCAGAGGCCACAGGGAACCACGTGCTGCTGGCTCCTCACCCTGGTTGCCTGTGGGGCTGCCCCACCCTGGGTGTGTGCTCCAGTGGGGAGACCTGAGCAGAGATGGGTGGGGAGGTGGGCAGTGGTCCCTGCTGCTGGCCAGTGGGAAAAGGGGCCCAGCTTGGGCACCTGGGCTTATCCATCTATGCATTTCTGGTAGAGAAGCCCACTTTCACCATGATGTGACATTGGGAATGCCAGTGGCCACCCACGGTGGGATCTGCCAAGTGGGACTGGAACCTGGGTTTGAATCTGGGGATTAGCTGGAGATGGTACTTAGGGCAGAGTGGCAAGAGGGGCTGGCCCCAGAGGCCAGACCCAGGGGGAAGGGTATGGCTCAGAACCCAGCTCTGGGTTGTGGTACCATATCCTGGTATGCAAGGCACAAGGGCCACAGGTGCAGGGGCCACATCTGCAGCTACCAAGGTATAAATTTTTTTTTTTTTTTGAGGGGGGTACTAGGGATGGAATCCAGGGTTGCACTACTACCTAGCTATGCCTCTAGCCCTTTTTATTTTGAGACAAGGTTTTGCCAAACTGCCAAGGCTGGCCTTGAACATAAAATTCTCCTGCCTTGGCTTCCCAAGTCACTGGAATTACAGGTATGTGCCAGTGGGCAGTGTGTGCACCTAGCTCAGCCTCTCCTCTCTGAAGTGCCTGCTCTGGCCCACCAGGAAATCTGAAACCCAGGTGGCCTTGCCTACAACCTCCAAGTGGACCAGCCTAGGGATGTGCTCAGGGCCCAGGCCCTTCCCTCTGCTCTCCACTTAGCTCTGCTTCCGTCCTCAGTGCCGACTACTTCCCAGAGAACACCAGGGATGCTGTGTGACACCCCCAGGGGTGTCTTAGACATCTGTGCTCAGGTCTGCCAACTATCCACACCTGTCGCTGTCCTGCTGTGGGCCTGCACCACCATTCTCACTCCTGGGCAGGACTGTGTCTTCCAGGAAGCTTCGATCCAGCCTGTCTTCAGGAACAAAGTCCTCAACATTCTGGACTCTTGCTGGGACTTCTACGGCTGGGGCAGGTTCTGTGGACAACAGATGCCGGCTCCTGAGCCCTCTGTGGGCCTGTCCCCAGGCCAGCAAGGGGTTAGGGTGGTGGCTTGTGTGCCTGGGCTGAAGACCAAAGCTGCCTCCAGAGCTTGGCCATGGGACCACTTGCCCAGGAGGAAGGGGGAAGCTTGCCAGGGATGGGGGCCATATCCTGGTATACAGGGCACATGGGGCCACAGACACAGGGTGACACTCCATGAGTCCACTTAGTGAAAGGGCTGCTTCTGGGCCTACCTGGAGGTGAAGGGGCCACATCTGCAGCTGCCGAGGTACCAAATAGCCGGGAGATGATGCTGCGTCGCTGGGGTGGGGGTTGGGCAGGGATAGAGGGGTGTGCAGGAAGGGGCGGGGCTTCGGAGGAGGGTGCAGAGGATATGGGTAGCACAGGGGGGCAGGCTGAGGAGGTGCTGGGGGGCAGCTGGGGGGCGGGCTGGGGTGTGCTGGGGCTAGAGCTCCCTGTGGACACAGCACTTGGAGGCACAATCGGCGACTGGGAGCCTGAGGATGGGCTCTGCCCATTGGCTGCCAGAGGGGATGCGTGACCGCGGCTTCGAGCCTCCATCATCTCAAGGAAGCTGGAGGGAGGGCAGAGGGCTGGAGTGAGGCCTCTTAGCTCTCCCTCCCAGGCTCCAGAGGGCAGTCTTTCTGCCATAGAGGTACTGGAGTATCCAGTTGTCAGCCACCGCCCACCCCCCCATAGCTTCTGCCCTGTGGAGGAGGTACTGGGGATGGAACCAGGCCTTGTGCATGCTAGGCAGGCACTACAGCACTGACGTACACCCCAACCTGACCCAGGCTATCTTGCAGGCAGAACATGTGCTGCTCAGTGGCCAGGCCATTTGGGATAACCTGTCCTGTTTACTGCCACTCTCCAGCACTGGATCCTTCCCAAAACCAAGTTCTCAATTCATGCTGGCACCAATCTGGAAAATTGAACCCCACTAGGGGCAGGAGGCAACCAAGCTCCATCAGGGGCCAGCTGGTCTGGCCAGAGCTCGGATGGGCCATGTGGCTGTCT